AAATATACATTACTAATCACTACGTTATAACTAAAGATCTTAAAATGTAAACTGCAAGTCAAGAATAAATTGCCATATATATAGCTACTCTTGGTGAAAAAAGTATCCGCAAATCTCTTTGTTTTAGATCAATGTTAACGCTTTCATAGCCCGGGTTTCATAGTGAGGAGCGTGGCGTCCATATACGCACATACGCCCGTGCGAACAGCTGAAATCTGGGAAAGATGTCGACTGATAACTTTTTTCGCAATAGTAGCGGTGTCTTTGTGTTTCTTAATCGTTTTATTATTCCATAAACAGACTCTTCCCTGCCCCTTCGCAGCATTTTCCTTCGTATTTATTTCCTAAACATGTCCCCTGCGGAAAACGCAGGAAATGACATTTCCAAGACTGAAATTTATTAACTTTCTGGGGGAGGACACCCATAAAACCTGTTTGTTTAGAGCGGAATGAGTTGAATTTGTGAAAATATTCACCTTAGGTCGAGGCTAACCCTGTAAAACTGAGTCTTCAGCGCTTCTATTCAGTGGCCGGGACGAATTCGAAACTATACTGTTGCAGCTTGGAGAAAACAGGTCAATGATGGAAAAGGTAAGAGCAGATTCCTATCTCTTGCGGTTCGACCTTTCTTGATGATTTTCCTTTGTTTCTTTTTTCTCTATCAAAGATCTTCTTAAAGTGTCCTCGATAATTTTCATTCAGTACCCTTCCGCATAAAGTCCCTTTACTAATTACGTTGCGTGACGGTTGCTATGCTCAATTTCCATGTTAGCAGGAGTCAGACTGGCTGTCATCGATAGTGATTTTCACAGAGGCGACGAAACAATCCTAAATTTCGCAACCGTCTGTTAATATGGTTAAAACAGTTATTCTCCGGATCAGATCATCCCGATCAAGCCATCATTGTATGGAGTATATGTGAATTCTTTTTCACCGTATCCCGGTCGAGAATTTCTGTGTTGATTCAAAATCCTTTCCCTTAGAAGCTGTTGGTATTTGAAAGAAAATTTTAACAGATCGGACAGGTAAGGAGAGTTCAAACTGAGATGGCCAGCCTTCCTTCGTCACATTGGTTCAAAAGCGAGGCCAATTCAGCCTTAGATCAGTACGTTTACCTTGCGACACATTAATTCTGGTTTTTTGTGACTTGCTTAATCGTAAGACTCCTTGAAGGTAAGGACAGTGTTCGAATTTTTACCTTTAATTTATTTATTTCTGCCTCGAACACATCCGCGCCAAAACCTCCTAAATGCCCGCCAAATTTAATGTGGCGCGCTCCGGAGTGATCGTACAGTGTTTTATAGGGAGAGACAGGCCCAGCACAACTTCAACTGGAAGCAATTTTGTGTTACAAAAAGTACCCTTACAAAGAAGTCGAAAAGCGCTATTAATTTCGTGCTACATTTTCTTGATAAACAATGGAATGTGTTGAAAATTATAGACATCCGTGTTTCCTAATACAAGTACACACGTAGCGGCCAAATTGCTATATATTTGATCTTTTTACAACTGTTTTGCTTGGTGCCGACGTTTAAATGCTACATCATGATCCAGTGCGATTTATAGTTGTCGCTACATGCTCAGATCTTTGTTTGAATTAATGCGAAAATTATCTTATAGTCTATAAGAAATAACAGCTAAAATACTCGATCTTAGCATTGTTGCATGCTTTCTTTAACAATGAAAATAATAGTTTTCCTAGTACATCAGATAGGCCAACTGACTCCCACTGGTAGCAAATTGTGCAGCAAAACCATAAATAAGGACTATTCGAAGTATAGACCTCATAAAAGCTTTTGATTTTGATCAACAATGAAATGAGTGACTAAAACGCGTTAAAAATAACACACGCTCATGTTACCCATACCCCTACCGTCCTAAATGTACTTCACAGAGAGAGGGTTGAGTGTTGCTCGTTATTTGTAAGTCTCTGAATCTTAGCAGCTCTCTTTTTCTTTTCTGTAATTTTCACAGGGGAATCGAAATGAATTTTAGTTGATTTGTTGCGTCCATCGCGGTTCCCCCTATTTGTTTTTCGATAAAACACCATTGCACGAACGGTCTCTATTATTTTTCACTAATTTTGCGTATGCAGTTTTCAATGGGATCAAACCACTATGAGATGAAGCCTCGTTCCCAAAGCTTATCATTTTCTTAAAATATTAGCGAATTGTGTAGCTAGCATGCTATTTTCACTGTTTTTATTATTCTTAAAACTACTTTTCAAAATATTTCGACAACGCTCTCATAGAATTTATTCAAACTTTGCCATAATGCATGCAATTATAGCAGGTACATACTCCCTTAAGCGATTTCTTCAAAAAACTCCTAGAACAGAGAAACACAAAGATAAATGAAAAACGTAATGGCGTCATTACGTTGCCATGGCGACTCCGATTGCAATAAAACCCGGAACATAAGAAATTTTCATCTTTATATAATACAGTTGTGGTAACCTTTTTTCCATATCTTTACTCATGCCGACGTAGTTAATGCTCAAAGTTGGGAGGTATCAACCCTAAAAAATTCAGTCGAGCCACCTTAAATGAATCTTTCTGTAAAGAACTAGACGGCTTAGCAAGCCTGAAAAAAAGTTTTGGAAAACGTCTTGCCAAACATATTTTTCTTTTGTTTGGGGATTGCTAAAATTGTATTTCAACTAAACGCTGTAAAATTCGCAATAGAGTACTAAAGTGTGACGTCATAAAAATGAAATTTCTGAAATTATGGGATTTGTCAGGATATTCTGAAAGAACAATGTCCAAGAGGCCTACTTGCCAAAAATGAGCATTTGGGGGCAAATTGTCCCTGAGATCGTAGCCCAGTTATGCTTACAAAACTCCATACAAACCCTTCTAAATTTTTTTTGGGTCGACCCAAAAAAAAATTAGAAGGGTTTGTATGGAGTTTTCTGGTTATAACTGGGCTGCGATCTCAGAGACAATTTGCCGCGAAATGCTCATTTTTGGCAAGTAGGCCTCTTGGACATTGTTCTTTCAGAATATCCTGACAAATCCCATAATTTCAGAAATTTCATTTTTATGACGTCATCACTTTAGTACTCTATTGAACTTATTCTTCGGATTCAAAACAATGACCAATGTTCAGTCTGCACGTGCTCTTTTGGGTGAGTTGCCTGAAAAAGCAAGCGATCGGGTGTGTCGCCTTCGCTTAGTGCAAGGGAACTTGGTTTTCACTGGTTATGGCTCGCAAGTCCGTTTTGAACGAAATAAATGGTTTCAGTCATAATTAAGGAACATCATATAGGTGACCTTGCAAGTTTGTGTTATAAGAAAAATATAGAGCCTTTTTACGCCGCGAAGAGGATAAAATAGAAGACTTCACCGGCCTTTTCTCAAAAAAACGGGAATAGTCCAGCTTTAAATTCTGCTCCCCAGAAAAAGCTACAATGTAATTCAATTAAAATTTTTTTAAATCGCTGCACTTCGTTCATTTGTGGTAAATAAATGCATATTGATTCTGAGGTATCCCCGGTTTGATAATTTGT